CCTGATTAGTCCAAGATCGTGAAGGTGTATGGGTGCATCATCAGAATGACTTGGAACTAAATGAAAAAAATAACATCACAATCTTATTACTGAGGAAGGGTTCAGGGCACAAACGCTAATAAATTCCAGTCAATGGACATGAACATTTTACCTGAATGAGAGTTAAGTCACCTATTCAAACAGAATCTAATGACTCTGAGCCAAATGGATGAGAAGAGCTGTTTTTAATAAAACATTGGATGGTTAATTAGTAGCTTCGATATGTGACTGTCATTAAACTACCGTACATGCCCTGTCTGATAGGTACAGAGAAGGCATTTAGTAGTGGGTTTTCTCTGACTTTTCAAGACAACTTGTTAGTCATAAAATGTAAATAAACATACCCTACAAAATTCATAAAAGTGGCAGAAATCGGTGTTTTTGTATGACAGTCACAAGTGTATAAAACTTAGTAAACATTTGAATGGTGAAAACAAGTCTTTAATCCTCTTTGCTAGCCTACAGTTCACTTTTCAAAAAAGAAATAACTTACCTTCAAGACTAAATTTAGTGCCATGTCCTTTGCTTGTTCATTCTTTCCCTTAGATGCAACAGGAGCATTTGCCAGTAAAAGCTTGAGAGCATCAGCATGGTTACCTGGGAAATACAACACTTGATAAGTTTCATATTAATTTTTAATTTTTGTACCTCCCCTAGTCTATTTAAAAAAAAAAATTGAGTCAACTACATAGAGAATTACCCACCAGAATTCATGTATGAAATAATGGTGGCTTCATCTACACCAATGGGAGGACTCTGTGGCTCTACATCATCATCTTTGAAATTATCTTCATTGTACTGGTCCACATCAATGTTACGGAACTCAGAGCTTAACGTGTTCTTCGCCATGGCTTTTCTGGAAGGAGAAAACCATTAGTAATCAAATTCAAGATATAAAAAGAAGTATTAAAGTTGTAAAAAATAAGAGATTGACCTTGAAATCCTATTTTCTAGTTAAGCCCAGAGCTAGATGGCTCTTATTACTAATGCCTGGAATGTGGAGTTGGTCCACCACACCTTATCTCCCAAGGCAACTGGGAGCTGATATTATGACCACGCACCACTCCTGATCACACCAATGGCCTCAGCAGAGGGAAATTAGATGTAAAGGTTGCCCTTAAGTGACATTACCGTTAGGGTTGGACTGATTAATCGGTAGGTAATCGGTAATTGGCCAATTTGCTGATTAATCGGTAATCGGCCTTTTGACTAATTAATAAGGCCGATTAGTTAAGTTTATCTCTGTAATTTCATATTTACCGGTATAAGGTAGTTATGTCAGTATGGTGATCTCACCAAAACTCTGATGTCTCTCTAAAGCTTTTATTTCTAGCAAGTTCCTATATAAATGTATATTAGTTACATTATTTATATGAGTTACATGTGCTCCTATTTTTACTCCATTTCTCATATTAAAAATATAGACAGACAGAAAACAATGAAATATTTAAATATTTTGTTACCCCATTGACATCAAATGAAGAACCAATCATGATTAATCAACCAAGGTAAAGTAAAGTTCAACTTTAAATTTATGTTATAGTACAGTGAGCCCTTCAAATTCGCAGGGGCTAGGTTCTCAAAATGGCCGCAAATTGCCAAATCCGCAAATAACATTTGCTAACTGGGAGGGGGTACATTTTTACTTGTGTACAAAGAAATGTATATTCTCTTTATGTGTTTGCCCTTAGGACAATTATATCTTTTACCTGTATTGTATATATATACAGTATGTGTGTGTGTGTGTGTGTAGACACACACACACAGAACACATACAAATAAATAATAATGGGAAAATCCTCTCACAAATAATCAGAAACAAATGTAGTATTAAAAATGTTGAATCTACCCTCAAGTCTACTCCGTGCTTTATTAATAACAAAGCACAGAGTAGACTTGAGGGTAGAATCAACATTTTTAATACTACATTTGAGGCATTGCGTGGAGAAATTAGCACAAGGGCCACCCAGGCCACAATCATGTTTATGCCTGCAAACAGTTCTTCAAACACCGTATTTTCATGAGGTGATGGATCAGCATTCTAGCTAGAATACTTTCAGTGTTATCAATTTCTGAATGTTGCAAACTTTGATTGCATTTCCTGGCAAACAATGAGAATAAAGCTTGTGGTAGTTTCTCCATGCAATGCCTCAAATTTTGTTTCTGATTATTTGTGAGAGGATTTTCCCATTATTATTTATTTGTATGTGTTTACACACAGCACTTACCTACCTGTATATACCTTGCCTTACATAGCGCACACACACACACACATCCTTGACCACCGAAGGGTCAAGACGTACCTGGCGCTCCTCTGGGAGCAGCCAGGTCAACTGTTAAGTATGCTCATACCAACTCCCTCCCCTGAACCCTCCTCCCCACCAGAATATCAACAAGTTCTTGCCAGAAGTTACAATTTCATTTAGGAAAGCAATGGAACCAGTGTTGAACAGAGGTGAACAGCGGTGAACAGTGCCTAAGTCAGTGAGAACGACTCAACAATAACAGCCGAGTCATACCCAAGTAAACTTTCACACAGTGAGGCCCCAGGTACCCAGTGATAACTGCCCGTGAGACCCAACAGCAACCAGCGATATGTTAATCTGTCTACGATAGGAAGGTCTGGGACCACACCTTACTCATATAACACCATCTGTGAGGGAATTACTACACCACGTGAGGTCCCTCATAACACCATCTGTGAGGGAATTACTACACCACGTGAGGTCCCTCATAACACCATCTGTGAGGGAACTACTACACCACGTCAGGTCCCTCATAACACCATCTGTGAGGGAACGACTACACCACATGAAGTCCCTCCTAACACCATCTGGGAGGCAGTTATTACACAACGTGTTTGCTGTTGAACACCTACATTAATCTGAATGTTCACTGTATGTTCCTTTACCTTTCTCTAATGAAGGCCTTTGTTAAACAATCAATGTATGTAATAAGTCATTTATGTCCAATGTATATTTTCAGCCGTTGGGCTGCAGAACTTTTTCAATAAACCGTTAATTATTATTATTATTACTGTATATACAATACAGGTAAAAGAAATTACTGTCTAGAACGAATGGCTCCCTGTCCTGGCCGCGAAAATGCCGGCAACTTTATAGCTACCCACAGACATTCTTGGGTACATCCGCAAATAACAGGACCGCGAAATAAAAATCCGCGAATTATCCGGGCGTACTATATTCAACATAAATATTGCTGCAGCTGTACACAGGCCAAAAAAATTCAGATTTCAGGCTAAGACTGACGATCATACGGTGTTGGTGTGTCATGTTTTCTTGCAAGTGTATGTTCAGGCAAGCTCAGGATATGTTTTTGTGCTACTTAACCCTTAGGCCCCGGGTGACGTTCCAGAACATCCGCCTATTTTCCCGCCATTTATTTTTTTAAAATTATTTTTGGAAATGTTGATTTTTTTCTCGATTTAACCCCGCGTGGGGAGTACTGCCAGCAGCACTCTAACCCGGGGCTTAAGGGTTAAAAACAAATACAACCAAGTCATACAGTACTTATTTGTTAGAATTACAAATAAAAAGTGATACTGTACATGTATTTAAAATAAATACAAACTACAGCTATATTTAAACACTGAGGTCCCAAACAGACTGTTACTGAGAAGTTAGGATAGGACTTGAGAGGTCAGGTATATTTTATTCACACTACCATTTCTATTAGCATCTAGAATGACCACAAAGAACAAGAGAAATGGGAATTTCTACCAAATTACAACCAGGATGTACAGAACGAGATGTTACAAGTTACAACTAAGCAAAACTAGACTTTATAAGGGTGGGAAATCACTAAAACCATTTGCTCTCTCTATAGGAGATGGCAGGTGGGCAGCAAAACAAAGTAAAAAAATAACATTTAGGTGATGTCTTTAACTTTGTGATACCAATAATTTCATGAAGATTAATCAGATTTAAATTTCTTAATAAATATAATCGGTCGATTCTTGACTGCCGATTAATCAGTGATCAGCCAAATCACTTATTGGCCCAACCCTAATTACTGCACAGGAGTTGCACAACTATAACCTCTCCGGAGTGGTTATCAGGCTGGGAGGAAGCCAAAACAGGAACAAAGACACTACATACGTGTAGTGAAGGGTTAAATCTGACTTAATGGCAAGTTGGTCTCTAGCAGGTGTGGGTAAAATACTCTCTGCCCACCAAGTGATTCCATCTGGCACAAACCATAGCTTAGGGTAATGTGAGACACCATAATCCAAATACCTGATCATGGTTGACTTCAATCTTTATCTGAGATGACCCATTTTAACTGTTAGGTCAGTATAAGAGACTTAGTCAATAATTAGGTCATGGGTGGTTAATCCTTTACCTTAGAAGTAATTTTAATGAGAAGATCCTTCTTCTCTTCACTTCTCACTGAAATAGAAGTTTACGGTAATTTATCTCTTTTTCACTCCTTTGTACTTCTGCATATCGATCACAACTGTGCCCCGGGTTGGAGTCCTGTTCTACAACTGGACAATAAAAGCCATAGCAAATTACTGTTACAAGGAACAAACCATCCACCTGATTGGCCAATAAGCTTATCCGCTTACTGTACACAGCTTTTCCACCCACATTAGTAAAAAAAATACTCAAGAGGTACATTTTTTGCTGAACACTTGATATTCAATGTCCACATGCACTGGTTGTGGGTGATATAAATAGTGGGTTAGCGTAAAGAATTAACGACCAAGTCATAGAAACAATGTTGTGGACACACTTGGAAAAAGAGGATTACAGAAACAATATATAACCCAATTTAAGGAAATTGAACCCCAACATACAGATGTTCTATATAACACTAACATAAGATGGCCAAGCTTGGGAAATGTTCTGAATATAGTGTGGGAACTGAGAACAAAGGCTGGTTTGTTTTTGGACATACCTGTAAAACAAAAGATTTGGATTACCCACAACTGAGTATTATGAACTGGCTCTCTGATTTTGCATTTACCGTTGATATCACGAGCCAAATTAATGATTTTAATTCATAACTAAAAGGAAAAGGATTCCTTTGTACATTAATTTTATTACAGTACACTACTGTATCAAGGCAATTATGACAAAATGACTTCTTTAATCTCGTCAGGCAAGAAACAAACAATTAGCTGACTTAATAACTTTGCAGCAGATGAAAATCTTTAAGGTATTCTTTGTTACTACAGTACTTGACTTATATACGGTACTCTTGCCGATTCCAAGATTAAAAAATGATATGTCCTTGGTTGCCTCTCCTTTCACACCTTATGTTTATAAAGCCCCAGTTAACCTTCAACCTGTCCCTATTGGCCTGTAATGTCATGTAACTGCAGTTCAATCCAGTGACACTTCCAAGATTTTATGCTTCCCTTATTAATTGTGCATTTTCAAAATTGAAGGCACATGTTCAAAGGATGTTTGTGTTGTTCAGATCAACATAATTATGTTAGCTGATATTTTCTGTGATGGAACTAAATAAATTAAAACTTAGATCTGTAATGATCAATGACCACCTTGGAGCAGTACTGTCCTCAACAACAGGCACAACGTTGAACTCAGTGCATATCAATGCCATCATTCTTCCCTTTGAACGAGCTTCTTGCATTTTCAAAGACAGTCTGAAATACTCATCCATTATGGTATGGATTAAACGTCTCCTCAGTGAGTCAGTACTTTGATGGGTGGCTGCCTGGGAACACCAGATGCTGTTGGCATGTGCAGCCCAATGTTTTCCATGGTAATACCCAATGGTTCATTTTTTTTAAAAATTACTTAGTTCAGTGACAGTTTGTCTTAAATGTATGTGTGTGTGTGTGTGTGTGTGTGTAGCATGCAAGGATCATGACATAGAGGGTGTACAGTATATCTTTTTGATGAGAAAATGCAAAATAAAGTAGAAAAAATGAAAATCAACAAGAAAGCTGGGTAATACTGAAGAGCAGCTTATCACCAGAAGGAGTTGTTCGATTTTGTTAATTTTTTCCACAATATTTTTATCATTATAGGATTTTAAAAGAGGTGATTTTATTTCATTTCAATTACATTATAAGTATTTTTTTCTCTATCTACGATCATAAATCACCTATAGTGGGCAGGGCATGAAAGATGAGGGAAATTGCAGGGTAAAACATAGCGAAAACTAATCATAACACTAAAATGATGTCTCTACATGCTTTGTACGTTAAGAAAATAATTATTTGCTGTAAATACCCCTCCAAAAAATCTGCTCATCATTAACTCGAATACGATGGATAGCTTCAAACATAGGTTGGATGGATATATAAGCAATAGGGGTTGGGTGTAAATGGGACTGCCCAGTATGGGCCAATAGGCCCACTGCAGTTTCCTCCATTCTCATGTTCTAATGTGTGTGTGTTGTCATTTGCTCAGTTTGTTTACAACCAATTCATTCGGTCCGAGCATACTCGCACATCCCCCCCCCCCCAAAAAAACGTAAAATTACCCCATGACGTTTCAACAGAGTTGCTTTCATTGGTCCCAGATATGTAAGTAAGTACTTTCTGTTAAATATCATGTGGGGTCTGGGGGCTAGGAAGTGGTGTAAGGTTAGGTAGGTGTCTTTGGTTGGTTTGGTCAGGTTCTATTAGGTTCTAGTAAATGTTGCCTCATTTAAAACTTACTATAATGGTAACATGTGGAAAAAAAAATAATGAACTTAAACAACACCTTCTGATGTTAGCCATCCCATCCAGGATTACCGAAAACTGAACCTCAATATTGATATTAACCATTACTCCAATCCTTTACATAAAACAGTAGCAAAATAAAGTCAGCCCAGGTGTATGGTCACAGCCTATAGAAAAGAACCACTAACAGTTACACATCAATGTTAAATCTTAGGTGTCAAGGAAGCTACACCACTACAAGGGGATTATATTAAAATCTGCCAACTCAAATGTGTTAGTAACGTACACTCACTGATAACGGTCAATATATAGTAGTGCACCGTTCTTTCTTTGGGTATTAGAAATGTGTAAAAAAAAGTAGTAAATTACCAAAACCCAACCAAACCTAACCAAATCCTGGGGGGTCCAGGGGGCTCCTTAGGTTAGATAGAACGGTGCACTAATATAAGAAGACCCTGATAACTTATAATGGTTCAGGAAACTGTACCGTACGTTAAATTTATCCTTATTAATAATGAAAATAATTCAGGGGCATAAAGAAAGTCCTTACGATACTGATCCTTCACTTACATACGATAAAGCACACTTGTTCAAACTCATCAACGTCAAAAGATGAAGCATTTGATTATCTTCTAAGTTAGGGAATATTACTTACGAAAACGATTAAGATAATGTGGTAATAAGTGAGGTAAGCGTTGTAAAAGAAGGAGGAGGAGGCAGTAGTTGGTGCTGGCTGACACAGATAAGAGAGGATGTTCTCACCCACCCTAACACATTACAATACACTCTGAAAAATATTCTAATACCTAATATATTTTATGTTATTGCGAGTGAAAATATTTGAATTAATATATAATAATACATTGATGGTGTTTGTTGGTATTTACTGGAAGATGTCGGATAATTATCTTTGGTATTTCCTCTTTAATAAAGGTACGGCAGCCCCTCACACCGTATAAACAGTCAAATACAAGTTTAATGAAATGTCAATCTTCTCTAAAACATATTATAAATATTTGTTATTAAATTTATATATATTTGATAAACTAATATTTTCCGGTAAAGCAATAATGTCAACTCATAAGTATTAATTGACATATGTGTTTTTATTGGTTGTTCAGTACCTCGCATGAGCTCGACAACTCCTCCCTTTGAACTATGTGATTCATCTGACTGCATAATATAACTCATACTTTCCTTTTTGTCTCTTTGCTCCAAGTTTTTATATGTATCTGTAACATTATGCAATATGTATGAATCTAAAATATCACCCGCATAATTATAGGTTTATTAATCTTTGCATTTTCAAGATCACAAAACTACCTTTAATACAGCTAGTGGGCTCAGGGGTGGGCCCGGGGGTAGCAGTGAAGAAAACCAACCAAACTCTAAGAATCATAAATCTTCTCTTTAAATACATAGTTTAAAAAAATGTTCATTCAGCTCTATAAGTCTCTCGTGTGTCGTTATCTTGACAGCTGTATTATACCAGCATGGAGGCCGTATCTACAAAAAGACATAACATTGCTTAAAAAAAGTGCAAAGACGGGAGAAGTTTTAACACCTACAATACTGACAAACAAAAATTATTTCATGGTAAACTCTTACTTGAAAAATGTTTCAGTTTTATGCACAAGTAGTCCAGTTTCGTGGTTTTCATAGTACAGTATAAAAAAAAAGAGCCACTATGTACAGTGGTGAAGAGGATAAAAGTATGTATAGAAAACAGGGGTATTTTTTATTCTTTGTCCATTGATATCCGTTTATTGCGAACATGCTTCGTTTTTTAACATAAAATAAACACCTCTAGAAAACCCATGTTTCCCTGTTGGTTCGAGGAGCTAATGTTTTCGATATATTTACAAGAAAGAGGATATCAAGAAGATTAAGAACCCCAGCTTGTTTCACCTGACGATTAAACACCTTAACATTAAACGGGGGGGAAGGGGTGATCGATGGATAATCATTAGGTGAAACAAGCGGGGGCTCCTATTCTTCAGGTCTTAACTAAATATCTCACCAAATCACCTGCGTTATGCTGAACCGATGTGAACTTGTATGGCGATTTTACTAACTAAATATCTATCAATATATCTATTCCGGTTTCGCCCCTTGTGATGATATTGGGCAATTCACATAAAATATCATTTAACATATATTGTTTTCTTCTTAAGTTACTCAAATAATAAAATGAACAATTTTCTATGAATACTAACAATGAGAAAACTAAGATTCTCAAGGGGTAACTTTATTTACTTCATGATTTCACTGACCAATTATTTTATTGTCTTATTTTAGTAATTATTTGACGTATTTCTCATATTATAAAGCTTGGAAAAAATTCTGGGTGCATATATTTTAAAATTTATCCTTATTTCTGTACTTGGATGGGTGACCGCCTGGGAACACTAGAGCCTGCTGGCATAACGACCCTACTGAAAATACTCATCTCATGACTGTTAGCTATCCTTGGTAAAATTGGCTAAATACCAATCGCAAATTATTGTTATTATTAATCATATAAACAAACCACGTACAGTGAATATTGGAGTTCAACAAACACTGGGATTCTGGGAAACAATAAATCGACTTGAACAATGATAACCCAAGAAAATCTTTACGTTTACTTTTTATCCTCTTCACCACTGATCGGGTCGTTCGCCGCTTGGGCGATCGGTCACGTCTCTGTTACTTTTCCTTTTCTTTTATCCTCTTCACCAAATGATCGGCTCGTTAGCCGCTTGGGCGATCGGTCACGTCTCTGTTACGCACTGTTGGCAAGTACTGGGCATGCACCGGCTCCTGAATGTACCTGAACCCGCTCCAGTGTTGGTCAAGTCTTGTCTTGAAAGAGCTCACACTCGGTGCCGTCACAACACGCGTTAGTAGATTGTTCCAAGAGTTCACAACTTTCACTCCGAAAAAGTTTGCCCTCACAGTTTTCTGGACTTGCGGCTTCTTCAATTTTGAGCTGTGACCCCTTGTGGGGCGAGCGTCCGCAAGCTTCAGGTATGGACACTCGACTGAGTAGTGCCCCTTGAGATGCTTATACACCTCAATTAGGTCCTCCCTTGCCCGTTTGTAGTATGAGCTAGGCAAGTACAGGCGCTCTTATCTCTCAGGGTAGCTGAGGTGCCGAAGTGCAGGCACCAGTCTGGTGGCCCTCCTTTGAACATTTTCAAACAACTGACAGTCCCTAACATATCTCGGGGACCAGATGGGGTGACAGTACTCCAGATGGGGAAGCAAATGTGGCAACACTATTTTGCACTTAGATTAATCAAAATTATCTACCCCTCCCCAACCAGTGTATCTACTGGTGGATCCAGATATAGCCAAGCGTTTTATATATATACATACATACATATATATATATATATATATATATATATATATATATATATATATATATATATATATATATATATATATATATATATATATATATATATATTAAACTCTTTCAATACTAGTTTATGAACAGAACTTACTTTTTAACAAAGGTCCAGCATGAAGTCTGCTGTATCATGCACTTCATTAACAAATGGTAAAAAGAAACCAAATTTAATCAAATTTAACCTGTCACCGGGCCCTGACAGCGTGCATCCCAGAATGTTAAGTGAATTGTGCAACGAGTTTGCCGAGCCCCTTAAAATCTTATTTTGTAAATGCATGGTTTTATGCCGGGACGCTCCCGCTTGGCACAATCAGTTACCGCGCTGTATGTATGGACCAAGATCCTGTAGCGTAGTTGCATTTTCGACATTTTATATCTGAACTCTGCTAAGGCTTTCGACAGTGTACTTTATGAAAGACTAAAAATTAATTAGGAAGGGTACGGAATTCGGGGGTGTCCTAGCATGGATCGAAGACTTTCTTCATGACCGCGAGCAGTGCCTGAAATCGTCATGCTTACCTGTGACAAGAGGGGTACCGCAAGGCAGTGTACTGCAAAGATCATATAGTCTTTGGTGTACTGGGCCCGTTGTAGTTTGTTTGTTTCGTAAAATACCTGCCAGAAGTTAAACATTCCTCCATACAAATGTTCAAGGACGGTGCCAAGTTATTCAGGGATATTAAAAATCAAATGGGCCGCTTGGGCGGTCGGTCACGTCTCTGTTAAGCACTGTTGGCAAGTGTTGTACTGGGCATGTACTGGCTCCAGAATGTATTTGTATCTGCGCCAGTGTCGAAATTTCATGATAAAATCTTTACTTTGGCCCCACAGTAAGTAGGCAGAGCTTCTGAGAGAGCTTTCTTCATTCTTAAACCGTCACAGAACTAATGCCCATTTTAGTAGAATGGATAAAGTTTGGCAATCCTCAAGGGTTCATTCTGCTAAAATCAGACATAGCTCAGTAATGGTTTGGTTAAATTGGCCTTTGTATACCTTCGGCAATCAGAAAACACGGCCGTATGAAAAATCATCTGGCATGATGGCGAAAAGCATTTGGTTGTAAATATTTGTTGAATCTTTTGAAATTTTAATATTTGAAAACTTCTAGACAGTTTTTCGATAGAACTGGATGAGTAAAACTAAATTATGTCATAAGGTGTGACAAATAACACACAATTTGCCTTATTATGTACGACGTTAACATCCACCAAGTGGTAATAACGATGACACCCCAGTCTCCCTTTACTGATAAAAATAAATAATAATTTAATACTTGTAGAATCATATAATCAATTAGGCTTTCTTAAGGGTCTCATGACATGTTATCGTCGGTAAGTGTTTATAAAGAATTTGTATCCAATAAAATCAAATGAAATTATTTTTCAGGCCAGTCTTCAACTAATAATTTCGTATCTTTGAAATGGGGTTGTGAGGGATTGCTGCTATCTAGCATACTGGGTCACTAAGTTGAATTAAGTAACTTTCGAGATATTGTGACTTCTTTATATAAAAATAATAATTGTGAAGAGTTTCGAGAGACACTTCTGGAGTGTTACTGATTTTAGATTCTCAAGAACGCCGGCCGACTTTCTGTACCAAAAAATCGAATTTTTTGTTTACCTCAGGAGCAACTTCAGGCCCGATTTTTTTCTTTTTGTATGGTTAATATTATAACGTGTTACTGCATCAACAAATATGGTCTTGAAATGTGTATTCAAATAAGTATAACGTTAGTCAACAATTACAACTTAAGAGAGAAAAAAGTGCTTAAAATTTTTCACATTCTGGGAAGCCTCGACTAAAGTTCCCTTAACAGTGTACAAGAGGCCGAGTATTACTGCTACCTATGGGCGGTGGTGACGACTTATACATACAGTATGATGTAATTCAGTAAAGATAGTATTTCTACGAATCACTCTGAATATACAAACCCATTAGATAACTGTCTCCTGTGTAACAGAACAAAGGCATTACAAGGTTATATACACAGTGGTGGTTCACCTAAATGACCTCACTGAGCAGGAATTTCCTGTTAAAAACTAAAACAAAATAAAAAATAAAAATTCAAACTTAAAAAGCTCTAGTTCTTGTCTGTTGTACGGTGTAGATTTGTGAAGATGGAACATTTCGTTCTCGCTCTGTAAGACCGTCTTCTGAGTGCTTGGAGTTGTCTTCTATGACCGATTTAAGTGCAATGTATTAATGAATTACAATGTGTAAACAGTGGATGAAAGGCACGATTATTTAGTTTAATTGTTGAAAGACACGATGGAGAGTAAGTGTGCAAATTGCTATTTTCTATCCATTAGTTTATTAATTCACAGAGTTTTACAAAACACAACACTCGTATAAACAAACATGTTCACGGTGCCGTCGCCACGCAAGAACATGCAATTGGGTTCA